AGTAGGTAGTGGAGTCAGGATTTAAGTTCTGTTTTCTGACTCATGTGTCCAGCTGCCTGTTCACCAGTCTCCACCCAGTTGTCTAATAGGTATCTCACACTGAACACGCCTAAAACTCCGTTTCCGATTTCCCTTCCCTGCTCCACCTTCTAGTTAGTTGCTCTGGTCAAAAACCTTGGTGGCATCACGTCTCAAACCCTGCATCTAATCCATTATCAAATCATCATCAAATCCTGTTGTCTTTACCTTCAGAAGATAGCTAGAATTGGCTTCAGACCACCGGCGCCATCACCCTGATCTGAACCACCATTCTCCCCTGCCTGCTTATCCGCACCCCCAGCACCCAACCCAGAGGCAGAATGTGTCCATTTAAAACCAACTCACTTCTCTGCCTCAGACCCTCCAGTGTCCTCGCAGCACCCTACAAAAGCCTGCCAAATGTGACCTTGTGTTTCCTGTGTGTCTTCAACTTCTGTTCCTGTCTTCCTTGCTCATCTGCTCCAGTCACATCAGCGTCCTTACCTGTCTTCCAACATGCCAGTCGTACTTCTACCTGAGGGCTGTTGAACTTGCTTTTCTCTCTTCCTGGAACATTCTTACCCCAGACCTCTACATGGCTTGCTCTCTGACTTAAGTTCCCTATTTAAATGTCACCTTCTGGGTGAGGCCAATTCTGACCCATGTCCTGGCACTCCCTCTCCCCCTACCTTGCTTCATTCTTCTGGTCAGCACTTAGCAACATCTGGCATATGATATATTCACCCTTAATTGATTTATTCTCTCTCTCTCTCCAGTATAATGTAAATTCTGTCACGGCAAGAACTCTGTCTATTTCACGGCTGTATCTCCAGCAGCTGGTGCATTGTAGGTGCTTATTAAATACTTATTTTCTGAATGAAGGAGTAAAATGAGTGAATGAATGGATGGCTCAGAGACCAATGGCCTTTTCGATATCTCTCACTGCTTATTCATTTGGCATTAGGTACATGGGGTTTATTTGGTTCAGTGGGTCTTGTTTGTGGATGAAAGAGTACTTACGTACTTAGAGGAATGACTAAGAATAGAGAATTAGGGGCCGGACCGATGTCGCAAGCGGTTAAGTGCCTGCACCCCGCTTCGGAGGCCCGGGTTTCGCAGGTTTGGATCCCAGGCACGCACCGACGCACCGCTTGTCAACCCATGCTGTGGCGGCATCCCATATAAAGTAGAGGAAGATGGGCACAGATGTTGGCTCAGGGCCGATCTTCCTCAGCAAAAAGAGGAGGATTGGCATTGGATGTTAGCTCAGGGCTGATCTTCCTCACAAAAAAAAAAAAAAAAAGAATAGAGAATTAACAGTTTGCTGCTGTTGTTTGCTTACTTGTGCCCTTGTGGCAAACTGACCTTTTACCTAGTAGTTGCTTTGTAGCATTAATATACAGATAGCATTAGAGTTTATCTCCTGGAGATAATGGAACAATCAAGAAAATGATTGTTCTTTTTTAACATTCATTCTCTAGTAATGTTTAACTAAAGTTGAGTTTTACTGTGTGATAGAACTAAATCCTACTATTCTCATTCTTTGTAGAGAAAAAAAATGCATATACGTATCTTTTTTAACTTTTACATTTTTTTTTTTAATTTCAAGAAGTCTAGAGCTTCTTAATTCTTTACATCAGATGGGTATTTTTTTGTATTATCTGAAACTGTTTCATCAGTTGAAGTGTTTATCTTGAACAATTAGATTTCATATTTTTCCACATTCCTAGCAGAGTACCTAGGAGAAAATATCCGTAGTTCCACCTGGTATGGTATTATCCTATAAGAGGTACAGGTGGCTCCATCCAAGGCCCTGACCTTACTCGGTGGAGGTTCTAAAGCCATCTGCTTTACCTTCCTCTTCCATCTCCCAGCCTCCACCCTAGGGAAGAAGGAGGGTCTGTATGATTCACATCAAGTTATCTCAGACTTTCTGGGACCTGGGAAATGATTAGATATTGGAGGCTCCACTAGGTGCAAAGTCAACAGGTAGTTAAAATGTCAATAAAGGTGTAAGTGAAATAATTGTGTGAGTCACTCTAATTGTCACCGAAATAGATATTTATGCACTGTTAAGAAAACCCACTGCAGTTAATCTCTTTGTGAGCAGTGGAATTATTTTCATTTAGAAGTGTTTTCTCTGAACACTGGGTTCTGCTGTAATGGGGTGAGGTTTGTCCTCCTTCCTCATCACTCTGTTCTGTCTCCCGGTCATGCGCGTGCCTGTGTTGGACTCATCTGCCCATTTTCCCCTGTGGTTTACTTTTCTGAGCTCTCTTTAATCTATTCATCCCTTACTGAACTTTTCCTTTATATTTTCTTATTTTCATTCAAAACACACTCCTTCATAGTCACTCCATAATAATTTTGTCTTCTGTAGTTTTACTCTCACATTTGCCACTCGCTGACCTCACCCCATGACAGGTTGGACCAGAGGCAGTGGAACTGCTGCCCATTTAAAACCAAAGGGAATATTCGAGGCTAATGATCACCAGTAAAGGAAACAAAAAGATGAAGAGACATTTTTGCAAACCAGTCAGTACCTGAGCCCTTATGTTTGCCAGATATTGATGGTGCAGAGGTAAAGAAAGCAGTGTTTCTGCTGTGAAGTAGCTCATGATTTTTGTGGTGACAGAAAAGTAAACAGATAACTGTAAAACAGTATGGTAAATGCTTTCAAGCACAGATGAGAATGGATAGGCGAGAGGGAGCATAATCAACCTACAGAAGAAGTAATAGATCTTGTCGGGACACTTAGAAGATTCACTTTATTTGGTTTTTAAAAAATATTTATTTAGCACATATCTTGTTCAGGCGCTGGAGATTCGGTAGTAAAAAGACTGTTAGTTCCTTGGATTTTAAAACACCACTGTAATTTGATAAATGAAACACCCATGAATGTGAGGATCCTCTGAAGGAAACAGATAGGAAGCTGAGATGAAGTGAAGGGTGTGTGTGCATTTGGGCAGAGGTGAGATCGAGCTGTCCAGTGGGCCTTTTGTACAAAGTGACGTTTAAGCTGAGACTTGAAGAAGGAAAAGGAGCTATCCTTACAAAACAATTCCAGGAAGAGTAGTCTGTGTGGAGGGAGCAACATTTGGAAAGAGTCTGGAGCATTCACATCTGCTGCCTGCCTTCTTTCCACCTCTGTCAGGGAGCATAATTCTTGGAACCACAGTGCAACCTCACACCACCCTTCTCCCAGCCCAGCTTACTTGCATGAGAGGTCCTGCATCCTACACACCTGATAGAATGGAAGTTGCACGGGGATGCCAGGACCCCAGTGGGCACTAAGAGCATGTACTCAAAAAGCACGCTTACATTCTTGGAACATTGTATATATTCATAACAATTTAGTATGTCACTGAGTTGATAAATTTAATAATTATATTATCTGTTGTTTTTATTATGTTTTAAGGTGGCATGGGAATTAGAATGTAGAATTGAAGGGTATTTTATAATTCATTGGTGACCTAAACTATGAAGAGAATTAGGCAGAGTGAGAAAAATGATTCTTTTCCCCTAGGGAAATGGAAATTGTTAGGCAGTTTTATAATCCTCAAAGGCATGTAAAATATCTAGCAAAGCTAAAATGACAGCTGCGTGTTTAAAGCAGCCTGGGGAATAGGTTGGCTCAGGAATAATTTCCTGAGGGTGAGTGGTGTGAGTCTAAGAACTGACTTTTAAGGGAACCCAAGAGGAATCTCCTCCCTTATGTACTTTGAGTTTAAGGGCAATCTGACAGTTTTTTTTTATGAAGTCTTGCCTGTTAGGTGAAGAGAATGGGCTGTAAGTTCTTGGGGGTGCAGGTCTGTGCATCTAATTGCCAGTAGTAGAAACGTTTAAAATAAACCCTTGATGGCGTTGCTGACATTGTGAGAAATCATCTCCTTTCTCACATGTTTAAAGATGCTGGTGTTGTGCCGAAGGTGGCAGCCGACACTGACCATCTCATGCTCTGAGCAGCGGGGACAGGTGGGAGAGCACGGGGGTCCAACTGGACTTGGTGGGTCTGAGCCTCCTCCTGTCACTCCCTGGCCGCACGACTGGCCTTCCTGAAGTCCTTCCCTTGGCTGTGCAGTGGGAGTGACTGCGTACTCCCAGCAGATAGAGCTCACATCCTACCTTTAAGCAAAACACGATTTCCTGGTTTTATCGAAATTCCAAAAATATAAATAAATAACTTATGGTTAATTGTTCTTTAATACTAATGTCTGAAAGCTAATGTAATAGTTAAAGGATTAAAATGTATCCTGCTGGTCTTCTTAGTGGATTTATTTAGTTTTTCCCTTTCTAAGCTATCCATTCAGTTAGCGATTGAAAATATGGAAAAAACATTGCCATTTTCTCACTTGTGACATGATTTTAAAGTCCTCTTTTCTTTAGTGTGCATGGTTTGTGTGCTTTTGGTGGTTGTGTTTAGGGCGGTTTAATAGGGCCGTTTACCCTGGGGGCCAGGCTCCTAGAACAGGGATGTGGACATCATCCTTTTTCTTTTTCTCCCATTTGCCTCTTCCTGTTTTGTTCCACATTTCTCACCCAAATTCCTTTAATTTCCTACCCATTCCCCATTTCCCAGGCAACTTACTGTTCCCCTTTAAGTTCAGCCCAGAGGCAAAAGACAGCAAGATATATTGAAAACGTACAAATCCAGAATCAGCCGAGTCTGACGCCTGCGTGGTCCTCGACCTCTGGCCTCATGTTACAGAGCACAAAGTTAGGAGTAGGGCTGCACCCCTGCCCACACGTGGTTTCTTTTAGAGGAGGAGTGTTGTTTTTTTTTTTTTTTTTTGCTTTTTAAAGCAAAGAAAGAAGACCCAGATACCCTATCTCCTATACCCTCCCCAGACACAACAGTGATGGAGTCTTTTTTTATGTTAAAAAATTTTTAGGATTTTGTAGTTTTATAAGTTTTCATACATCATCGTAAGTATTATTTTAAATTTCCTCTTTTAAAATATTTATTTTTTGTTTTGTCACAGCCCAATGATGATAATTACCCAGAAGGTCACTAGTTTGGCTTATGAAATTCATGATGGTAAGAATTTAGAAATTAACTTTTCGTTACTGAAAGAGATCATATTCAAATAATCTTTTGCTTGAGGTGTTATCGTAACTTTCTGCTCTCTGTTAGAAGAAGGAAAGGGATGGAGGTAAGATGGGGAAAATATTTGACTCTGCTTAGGATTATTAAAGTGTGTTTAGTTTTTTCCATTGTCTTAATTTTGCATTCAATTCAGTGACAAAAACAAAGTAAAATAGTGTAATTCAGTCACATGACCCACATTAGTGGCAATTTAAAATACAAAGGAAATAGACATTTGGTCTAAATCAAGTTTTACTAATCCCTGCTTTATCTCTGTGTTACATTTTTATTAAAACTTGAAGGTTTTTCTCCTGTTCCCTCTCCCTTACATACACACACACACACACACACGCGCGCACACACACTTACATATATTTTTAGGATAAATATTTATATGTTCATGTTTTCTATCCGGTGAGTAGACACCTTGCCATAGGAAATGCTAACAGTCAGGACTCTGAGTTGTAAGAATGGACTCTGGTTTCTTCAGAGACTGAAGGAGCACTCGTTAAAACAGTCATCTGTAGTAGAGCCTAGGGAGCTGCTTAGGTGGGTTTTTTAGCCCCACTGTATGTATTACCCATCCTGTGCCATCTGCTAGGGAAGACCTAAAAATATTTTTTAAGTTTATTTGCTTCTTAATTTAGTCTTCCTTTGGTCTTTTTTTTTTTTTTTT